CCACAAACCTGCTGAGTTCACATTCTGTAATCGCCCAACCTTAACATCTTCCCATCATTTTTAGTCATCCCTCTTTTTCCCCATCTCCAATTAATTGTCTATTTCTGTCCGGTCTACCCCAGCAACATTTCTCCAATCTCATCACCACCACCCTAGCTCAGGTCTTCATTCCCTAAGAAAATCCCCTATAACCTTTCTTTATTAATCTAATGGTTTCTTTCCTGATTCAATTCATCCTCTGAATTATTAGATCATATATCTTATAACCCAACTCTGATTTTGAGGACTCAAAGAACTTCAATCTCATAGCTTACTAACCCAGTCCAAATTTTCTAGCCTAGCCCTCCATGTCCTAGGCCAAACCTAATTTTCAATTTTTATACTTAATCTCCCCACTATTCCCCTTCATACATGCTCCAATGTTTTCCTATACCTGCCCTCTCTATCTAATCTGGTAAATACTGGGTGCTCAATACAAGTCGATTTCCTTCCATATCAGTTTGCTATACCCTCCTTCTCCATCCATCTCAGTTTGCAGGAAAAGATCCTATCATTCTATATATTTGATCATCACATGGGAAATTGGAATATTCATGGAACAGCTTGTAACATCTAGAAAACAGACAAGGACTGAGAAAGAAGAGCAATATGACTGAGCTCCAATGTCTGAAGAAGAAGGTAGTGACAAGCAGGATGCCATTCAAGCTTCAGAACATTTGAAAAAGCTGGAATCATTATGCCTGGGATGATGGGTGCTAATAGCTTATCTGAATTCTTCTAGATGATTCACTGGTCTAATAGAACTTATAGTTTAATGAGGAAGATAAATTACATATGGATTTGATAACACAAGATGGTAAAATCATGCTCCAATCAAGGTACAAAATGTCTTAGAAACACAAGAAAATGACAAATTCTAGGAGGTGAAGAAAGCTTCGCAAAAGACCATGAGATGGAGGCCTGAAGGACAGGTTAGGAGAGAAAAACAGTCCAGACAGCGGAAGCAGTCTAAAGGAAAGGGGGAGATGGAAAATGCTAGACATGGGTGAGAAACAGGAAAATAACTATGGAACTCACTCAACTATTACTATTTTGAATGTCTCTCTCTAATTATCACTTACATAGCTTTAATGAATTCACCCTTAAGAGCTATTTGAGCCCAGCATTTTATTTCAGTGAATTCCTGAAAATATGCAGATGATTATCTGCAAGATGGATCAGCTGTTATTAAACAGGATTTTCACAAGTCAGGTGGGTCCCAAGCTGCTTCATGATTCCTAAATGCGGTGCTACCCTCTGTTCACTCCCCAAAGGCTCCTCTTGGGCATTTCAGCATTCCTGCCTCAGTATGAATGAACTACTCCAACATCCTAGGATCTCACTGAAGGTGGCATGCTCTTTCCTACACACACTGCAATCAAGAGAAAATTACACCTTTTAAGGACTAATAACCCCATAATACAAAATGTAAAAATGCAAAATCAAACCACATAAATGTCTGCAGTACATACTACAAAGAACTCTAGAATTAGAAGAGATCTTAGGGAAAATCTCTATCAAGACACAAACTGTGTCTATCAGGTTCTTTCTCTCAGGAATTCAGAATCAAGCCTCAATGATTTAGTCTTTCCCTGTGAACTGAGGGACACGTAAATACTCAGGAGCTGCTGAGCAGTCAAATTCAACCATGAACACAGGAAAGCAGAAAAAAAAAAAAAAATTGGTCAGCAAAAGAAAGAACAATGAAGCAAAGAAAGGCAAAGAGTAAAGACAGGGAAAGTTCCACATTTTCCAGTCCCTGGTCCCTAATATGGTCTGTCTGCATTTAGCTTCCATCAAATTCCTTTCTTCCATTTTCCTAAAACTAGTTCAAGTTCATTTCTGTTACTTGCAACAGAAGCTTAAATGAGGCAATAACCAAATCCTCCATAAAGTCAATTGGTTGATTTATTACTGGCCTATCTTTTCTATAATTTCTTTTCTCTTTCCTTGCATTTCCATAAAGGCATAAAGATGACTTTAGTATGCTATACAGAAAATACGTGAACAAGGATCCAGGACCACGCTGAGCATTTTAAAAGAAAAACTGGCCCAGAAAGGAGAAAATATAAGAATATTCAAAGTAAAGCCTTGAGATATCTGTACAGAAATCACAGATGCTAACAACTGGCAAATTAAATAGCCATCTGATGACCCTCCTATCCAATCTCAATTTAATTCTGAATAAACCAGATGGGTAGGTCCAAATATGATCAATAGGGCATTTTGTAGGAATGTAGGGCATTTCATCTGGAATGCCCCCAAATAACTAGCCACAACCTCCCAACCACAGAAAGGTTTGGGTGCTGTACAGTGGTATCCCTAACCCAGACACAAATTCCAAAACTGAATACCAAACCATCTTAGGGCCTGGGCTTAACTGCCCCAAAGAACAGTTTTTAACCAGCACTTCCTGCTATTAGATGAGGGGAAGAGAAAGTAACAGAAGCTTAATATCATGGAACTCTGTCAACGTGTGTGCATCTGTGTGCATGTGCCAGGTATCAAGATGTTCCACAAGCTGGATCCACACCAATCAGATCTGACCACAAGTAGACCAGTTTAACATGTATAGCAAGTCAGAGTTAACAATCAGAAGTTTGAATCAATGTAGTGTGGGCGGCTCTGCAGGATTATATAAACAAAAACAATATTACAGTATCCTGGAGTTCAAAGGGACATGGAGATTATGTCCAGCTTCATCATTTTACAGAAAAGGAAGCTAAACATCTGAACCAAATCCCCAACTATAATAAGTAACACAGGCGCGATAAAATCAAAGAACTGTGACCAGATAATAGAACCAAAAAAAGCAGTATTTTCTAAAGTTCTCTTTAATGGCTGAAATTTTATTTTTAATTTAAAAAGGATAAATGTATTAGAAAATGTAGGAAAAAAAATCTATGCAACTACTGTTGGGATCTTTTCTGGATATTCTTGTTACTTGAGTTTAGCAAAATAGTAAAGATTTCTGACCTAATGGGTTAACATTTTAGTTAAAATACTAGAACAAGCACCTTTAAAAACTAAAAAACTGTGAGTTGATTCAAAACGTAAATGATGCTATATGTTTGCAACCTTGGCAGATAGGCAGTTTAGGCACTGTGACAAAATTCTATATGGCAGAGAACTTATTTTAATATAAAAAAATTCCAGACGTTCACATAGGGCCCTAATAAAAGTCATCAGAAATTAAACTTGTATGTCAGCTGGGACCAAAATTAAAAGAATGAATGTTTAAGTGATCCAAACATAAACTTGGTGTTCAAAATTGCTGGCAAGGGGCCACAGTACAGTGGATTTTGGTCTTCAAGGGCTGCTTTACCACAAGTATTAGGTAAGTCAACACATCACTGAGGAAAAAAAAAAAAAAAAAACATATATTCCCTGGCAGTACAATCCACTCTTTATTGTGCAGCACAGTATTTTCTAGAAGACCACTAATAAAATGTGCAGTTAGAACCTCTTGTATTTCCCAAGAAGTACTATTAAAGATACTCCTAAAATATGAATCCATAAAAAGTAGGCCTTTCTGAAAAACAGTTCTAGTCAGAAGCAACCATGAAATTGATATCATTACTTAAATTAATATTTATAAACTGCACATTTAATAAAGTTAAACATTTTAAAAATCTCCCGTTAATCTAAATTGGCAATTTTATAAAGTACATGAATCCTGAAGATTTTTTTATAGACCAACTATCTTTTAAAATCTGTTTTGCCACCAGTGCTGCACACGGAAATATGAAGAGACAGACCAGAGAGTTCTGAATATAATCTATGCTTAATAGAGTCAGCTTTCAACTAATTCGTAAGTCCTAATTGCGAGCCATATCTTATGTTGACGTTTTAGTCTTCTAGTGTCAAAAACAAAAACAAACTAAAATTTCCTAATCTCAACTGAGGTATTACAATTTTTGTTCTTCCATTCCAGAAAAAATTAAGAACTGAGAAAATCTGATGATTAGTAAGTTGGATACCCATCACAAATACCAAAGTTCATTCAATTTCACATTTACCTTAAACTCTACATTTGTAATTTCAAATAATTACCTTTTATAATAACCTTATAAAAAATCTTCGTGATATTTTCCACATGATTTAAAGAAAATGATCTTAAAAATCCTCTCTTAAAACTTCAGAATTACCGTAATTATAGTCCTAAACCAAGGAAGGCAGGAATGGCCCCTTTCGTTCACATAGTTTGACTTTAAATAGTCCGGTGTAAAACTTAAAAAACAGACTCGGATGCTTTTTTCCGCTCAAAAATAAAACAAAACTGGTACCAGGCAAACTCGGGGTTTTGTTCTGTTTTGGCCTATTACCAGCGGGGCCCGCGGGAGCCTGAGCCTGAGCCCCCGGCGCGGGCGACGCGGCGGGCGGGCGACCGTGCGCCCCTGGGTGCGCCCCTGCTCGCCGCCCGCCACTCCCGGCGCTGCCCCCAGCGCCGCCCGGCGCCCCACGCCCCTTCGGACGCGCGGCGAGAGGCGCGGGCCTGGCCGGCGCATTCCCACGCACCCCGGCCCGTTATCCGAGCGGGCACTTCGGCGGGGGCCCCCGCTGCTGGTCCCGCGCCCTCCCGAAGCCGGCGCGGCGCCCCTCCCCTGCCTCCGGCGGGCGGCCCCGCCAAGCCCCTTCCCGGGGGCCCGCGTCGGGCGAGAGCGTCCCTCGGGCTCAGGTTCGCTCCGGGGACGGGATAAGGTGTCAGCGACGCTGCCAGACGCCTCCCGTAGGCGGGGGCGAAGCCAGCCTGACCTCCTTCCATCCGCCCCCCCCTCACCGCCCGCGCGGGGCGCTCCCCTTCAGCGCCCCTCCCCGGCTCAGGACAGGGGGCGTCCCCGCAGGAGGCTTAAGGGGGCGCAGCCGGCGCTCAGAGGGGATCCGGGGTCTGGGTCACACCTCACCTCGGCAGGGTTGGGCTGGGAGAGGGGAGGCAAGGCGGGGAGGGAGCCCAAACTTACCTGACTGCGCGGCTCCCCGCGCCACGGCCGTGGCCAGCCAGAGGCAGAGGCAGAGCGAGAGGGGGCGCGGGAGGGTCCGCCGCGGGCTCATGGAAGGGCCAGGGAGCCGCCGCCGCCGCCGCCGCCGCCGCCGCCGTCCGAGCCTCCCTCCCTCCCCTCCCTCCCTCCCAGGCTCCGGGCGACGGACGGGGCGGCGGGAGGCATGACGGGAAATTCCTGGGCGCGGGCAGCCGAGTCCAAATATGAGCATGGGAGACGAGCGAGGGAGGATCGCGGAGCGCGCCCGCCGCGGACAGGGCCCGCTGCCCGGTCTCGGCGGTCGCCAACTCCCTCCTCCCCCGAATCTTCGTCGTGCACAGCCGCCGCGAGGCTGCCGGCCGCGAGCGCGAGCAGAAGGTGGAATCTCTCTGCCAGGAAGCATCCCTCTCCAGGGTTGAGGCCCAAAAGCAGAGCCGAGCGCCCCACCCAGGTCCCACCTGAGACCCCTGACGGGGGAGAAAAGAGAGAAACCACCACCAGGAGACCGGACAGCGAGCCAAGGACGCGACGGAAGACGCCTAAGGGGTTTGACGAGACTCCCGCGCTGCCCCTAATCACCTGAGAGCTTTGGTCAGGAGAGGATAAAAAGATCTGGCAAATACTTCTGTAAGTGTGGGAGGGTGAGGCGGGAGCGGCACTGCCAGTTCCGCACATTCAGGTGAGCCATCCAATCCACAACAAACAGGCATTGTAAGACACAAAACCACCCTCCTGCCTTCCAAGGCGAGCGTTTATATGCAGCGGAGGCAGGCTGCGTGACAAGTGTTCACAGTAGTTAAATGCTGATGTTGAGACCAGTTGTCCTTTCCACCACCAACCTCTCTTCCTCCCCTTACTTTGTATTTGTTGTAGCTTGTCTAAAAGGCAATGTTGAAATTTATTCAAAAGGTGCTACCTCTGATGGCCAAAATGTCAGTCCCAGATGTTTAATTACAGGCCCAAGCTACTATAGCTCCCTGCCTTTTCTTTGGCACTGGTAACTCCTCCAGTAATCAAGTCCAAATGACCCTTAGCTTTTCAAGACAACGTAATTGTCTTAATTACTATAATTTATTATTTTTTTACTCACACTGACACGACAGGCCCTGCAGATGCGAGATATTATATAATTACTTAGGAACATTTTAAGATGCTACAAAAATGATTTATTGATGCAAAATTCTTAGGGGGTAAATGCCAAACAGATTTAGAGTGTGGATTATTCTAGTATGAACTAAAGTGTGGTAATTTGTATATCACGCTACTTGTTTGAAAATGCTGATTTGAAAATCAAAAACTTCAAAACAAATTTAATTCTAGCAAATTACTAAGGCCCATATGCCAAAAACCACTCCATTTGCAAAAAGCTCCCCTTAAATCATTTGGTACTGAAAACACCACATCCCATGAATTACTCCTGGCAAATGGGCAGATTTCACCCTTAATAATATACTAGCAGTGATAATGAGGCTAAGGGCAGATGATCTAAGTAAACTAAGGGTAAATAAGCTGTAATACAGTAAATAAGGGATTTAAAAGACACATGGTATTATTCAATTTAGGTACCTAGAAGCTGGGCGGTGGGAGGGGAATATTCAGGAAAACAATTGAATATTCACTCCCTTTTCTCTTTTTTGTATATTTAATTGGGTATCAGCATCTGTTTTTCTTTTTTTTTAAGATTTATTTATTTTTATTTGAGAGAGCGAGCACTCAAGCCAGGGGGAGGGGCAGAGGGAGAGAGAGAGAGAGAGAATCTCAAGCAGACTCGCCGCTGAGCATGGAGCCCAACACAGGGTTCTATCCCAGGACCCTGAGATCATGACCTGAGCCAAAACCAACAGCTGGATGCTCAACTGACTGGGCCACCCAGGCTACCCAAGCATCTGTTTTTCTTAATTCCCTTATAACATCTAACATAGTTCTTTGCCCATAATCTAACAGGTTGTTTAAAAACAAAAGGAAATGAGCACAGTAATTTGTGGACTGACATATAGCAGTTCTGAGCCAAGTGTAGGGAAAAGCTTGTTTCAAAGGAATGTAATAATCATAGCTATATTTCAAATATTTTAGTTGACCTTATATACCAAAACATAAAATTATAAACAGTGCATTATCCCACAACCTAGTTCATAGTAATATAAGTGGAGAGTTTAGTAATTGTATCTGCAATTCTGCTGACTTGACCGCAAAACCAGCAGCTGGGTTTTTTTTTGTTTGTTTTCATTTTGTTTTGTTTTAAAGATTCTATCTATTTATTTGAGAGAGAGAGAGTAGGGGGGAGAGCAGAGGGAGAGGAACAAGCAGACTTTGCACTGAGCGTGGATCCCAAGGGCATGCCCGACCCCAGGACCCCGAGATCACGACTGCAGCCAAAACCAAGAGTAGGCCCCCTCAACCGACCCAACCACCCAGGCGCCCTACACACCAGATGTTTTCAAGGCTTCAGTAAGTTAAAGAGAAGAGAAAAGAGCTAAAGTTACTTGAGTGCATAACAAGTGCCAGACACTGTGCTAGATGTTTTACACGTGGTACTTCATTTAATTCCTACAAATATCTCTGAGCTTATTATCCTTTATCCTTATTTTACAGCTAAGGAGACTGAGGCATAGGTAAATTATGCTACCAGGAAGGGGTGAAGGAGTATTGGAATTCAAACCTCATTCCAAAATCATATATGTTCTTTTTACTGTACGAATCTGTCCCATTTTCCCTACATTTAAAAAAAGAAAAGAAAAAAAGGAACTCAAAAACTGTATTCACTGGGCTCTTGTGGTTTTAAGTAACTGGTGTGCACTCAAGTTACCTCAAGTAATAGGGGTAAAGAATACATGTGGAAATAAGATCAGAGACTTAACTGGCTTGTCAGGTCATCCTTTGTGGGCCTGGGAGGTGGAGGTTGTGCCTTTTGATAAGTACCAGGAACAGGAAAGGTACTACCCTCTGACCACATTCCTATGAGCTTTGTAATTTAGCCGCTGATATTCAAATCATATATTTCACAATGTCTTCTCTAACGTCTTTTTTTTATTATAATCTTAATACTAATCATGTTAACATATTACCTTAAACATTGTTTTTAAGACAAAGGACCCAGAAGAGGTAACTGCTTCCCCTGCTCCCTATATACCATCCCTTCCCCTACCCAGTGGTGTGCTAGTAAATTTTTAACAACCAGATCTGGAGGAGGGAGACCTCAATTGTAACAAAAACCAATTGATGTGGTATCAATACTCCCCCCAACCTGAGGCAGAGTGGGGAAGAGATGCACACAACCAGCTCTCAGGCCTGTGAGAGCCAACACACCACTGCCCCAGCTCCTCATAAAATGTCTTCAGAACACAGCCGTAATTCAAACTGCACAACCATAGCTCTTTCCACTTGCTGCCAGTTGTCTGTCTGTAGTTCATGATCAAATGCCCCAGAGGGGAGAATCTGATTCTATCACCATTGTCCTTTTTGGGGAAAGTTCTTACATGAGGCAATCTCAGAAGCCACTGGGCAGCCCACACACTGGCTACCTCTAAGCCAGGTGTCCTCTCCTACCCCGGCTGTGACTAGGATGGAAGGCTAACATTCTACACAACATAGCACCAATGCTGAAGAAACAGACTGCGTTGCTACCTTCTTAGGGGTTTGTGGTTGGGGCAGCCTCTTTCAAAAGGAGTCTGTAGGCAGGACAGTCTTTCAAGCTGTAATCTCGCCAACATACTGTGCTCAGCTCTTCAATAAGATCCTTTCAGCCACTACACAAAGCGTCAGGGCAGCCTTTACTCGGCATACCCCAAGGAACTGCCAACAACTGCAAACAGGAGAATGGACAGGTTAGGACTAGATAGTACTCAAAAGCCCCCAGCCAGGGTCAGAAACAGAAACCCTAAGTTAGTACTTAAATTCAATGAACATTTATCAGGCGCCCTTGTTTTAAACCAATAATGACTGATGGGAGAGTAAGGGAATTACCTCACAGGAGGATGTAAAAGACTCTCCAGGAGAAAGTTTTTCAAACTACACTCAATCCAAACTCCCCAAATTCTGCTTTCCTCTCCTGGGAAATAGAATGGTGTGACTCACTCATGCTGAGAACACTTTTACACTGGTGAAAGCATGCCCCTTGCCTCAGTGTGGTGGGGTGGGGTGAGAGTAAGGCTGAGAACTACTCTCAACAACATGAGGGACACAGAGTCAATGCTGACTTAAGGGAGACACCTGAAATTTTCTCTCAGATTCTGAAAAAGAATTTCCACTTTCATGACATACTTCCAGCCCCCAGTCACCAGATGTACTAAAAGGACAAGGACTCTATACCAGGTCATGAAGTGGGGCCCCTAAATAAAGATAAAGACTGAATTAAAATTAGCATTTTCCATCTTTTCATGGTAAAATAATTTTGCTGCATCTCAAATGGCCTTCTTTTATTTTACACAGTTGAAGCCATCCCTTTTGTTGATTAATTCTGGAGAAATTTGTTGTATTCCCATGATTGATGTGCTGCCTGATTCTACTAGCGTTGGATATGTGGTTATACTACAACAAGCAATAAATATTTAACAAGATTTTCAATGTTTTAGAGAATTAAATAATCCTCTCTAGACCAAAAAAAGCTGCTTGACTGTTAGCAAGATTCTGTCACATAAAGCAGTATATGTGACATCAGCTACATACACAAAATTAAAGAGAAGGGGAAGGAGCAAGACTGAACGTTTTGGGGGCACCTGGGTGGCTCAGTTGTTAAGCGTCTGACTCTTGGTTTCGGCTCAGGTCATGATCTCATGGGTCGTGAGGTAGAGCCCCTCGTGGGGCTTCGTGCTCAGTAAGGAGTCTGCTTGAAGATTCTCTCCCTCTGCTCCTGCCCCCATGTGCGTGCACGTGCGCTCTCTCCCTAAAATAAATAAATCTTTTAAAAACATTAAAAGAATGAATATTTTAAGTTGTACAGGAAAATTCTGATGGTGAACTTGATTCTACTCTTTCACTCCATCTCTCAGTGCTTCTTATATGGAGAACATCTAACCCCACAGCATGTGCATGTGGTGTTTAAAGGTGTGTATTTTTCACATAACTTGTCCCTAACCACAAACTACCTCCTTCATGTGTTGTTCAGCCAAAGCAGCCACAATCTGATCCAATGGTAAAGGACCCTGGCTGTGTTGGGCTTTCTGGGAGAAGCTATGTTGCTCTCCAAAATGGTGCCT